ATCTCTAAGTAAATACATACTATCAAATAAATTTAATTGTATTAGTGTAAGGAAAACAATTGGTATCGTATTGATTACAACATTACCTATTTTCATGTGTGAAATGAATGGCACATATATGTGTAAGATATATTATTTATTCCCTTTACATAGGGATGTGCAGATCTCTTACAATAATTCCATAAACTCCATCTATAACAGAGTCAAGAAATTGTTTGGGAGCCTTAGAATGATTTTTTGTAAGCTGTGATGTTTGTTAGAACCTAGAAGGCCAAGGCCTCCAAATATAAGGTCAGAGCTCTATGTTCAGCCTCACCTTCCCCTCTCTGTTTCATGTCCTTTATAAAAACAACTCAAACTCTAATCTCAATAGAAAGATCACCAAACAGCAGCCAAAGGAGTTGGCTTGAGACTCACTACCAATGTAGTGACATAGCACAGCTAAAAGAGGAAAGTTCCTGACTCAAGCATGTACTGGTTGAAGGCATCTGCCAAAAAGAGAAAAGTGGAAAGTGTCAACTTAAGGCTTAACTTCCCAGGAGTAATGATGAATGTCATTAGAGAAATAGCACTTCACTTTTGATCAGGGTACAAAAACAGCAAGAAAACATTTATACCAAAGGGAAAATTTATTTTAAAAAGTAGAAATGTAATGAATAATTCCTGTTGGATGTGGCATATTGTCCAGAGAAACTGGTGGACTGGTTTGGTCCATGCTCCATCACTGCCACGTGCTCATGAGCTCTTTAATCCCCCTCCTTCCTAAAACCTTCCTCCAGTTTCCAAGAAGAGGCAGAGTGGAGAGGTGTGAACCACTCAGGGGTAACAAATTCAGAATTTTAACCCTGGGCTATAGAATTCCTGCTGATCATTTGGGCAGAGGATAGGAAACAGTTAAAAAAAATTTTAAGAGAAGTTTTAAATTTTGAATTTCTCTTCCAAATCACAAGCATTTATATTGGGACATTTCAGTACTAATTTGTAGACAAGTGTCTAACCTTTGCTAATACAGATCTTGTTAATACAGAGTTGGGTCCAAAATAATACACTTACCTCAAAAAAAGGATGGAATTAAATTATATTTCTTAAATTATATTTCTTATATTCAAACAGCATCAATGTTTCAGTAATTGCTTTAATCTCAGTACAATCTCAGCCATTGAGAGATGCTAATTCATAGAGTTTATAATGATTAAGAATATGATACAGTGGTATCTTGATTCACGAACTTAATTTTTTTTCTATGATTTTGGAAATGATGGCCATGATGGTGTTTGTGTGGGAAATACGACTGCGGGCATGTTTGCCACCCAATGTAGAGTTTGCAAACAAAAACAAAATTTTTCCAAAAGTTTCTGTTTGTAAACCAAATTGTTTGCAAACTAGTGTTCATGAACTGAGGTACACTGTGTTTGCAGGGTTTCTGAGGTTCGGAAATCCTAATTCTGTTATTAACCTGCGATGTGGCCTTGGCAAGTTATTCAGTCGTTCTGAACTACTGTCTCCTTATTTTTACAGTGATGTTACAAATTTGTAAGATAAATTAGAATTATCATGTCATAATTATATAAAAATACTCAACAAAATGCGTGAACTTTGTTGACTCCTAATAAATGTTAGCTCTTACTGTAGGTTGGGATAGGACCAGATATTTTAACACAGCAATGGTTTGAGATTGCTGTTTCCACCCCAGCTAATGAGAGAACTTTGTATTTACCTCAGACTCTTCACTTGCCCTTGTCTTAGCTTCTAAGAGAATTTTACCAAACTAGTTCCTAATCTTTTTTTAAATGCTAGAACCACATTAAACAACAAAGGACAAGAGAAAGCAAAGCAAAACAAGAGAGGCTGAGTAGAGCCTGCAAACTAAGAGCTGAAGGTGTGCATAAGTGATGAAAGCTCACATGTGCCACATGGTATGTGAAAAAGCATTTTGATATTTGGGATGTGAATGTTTCTGGAGCAGCTTTGGAGTCGGAGAAGTTGGAAAGGAACCAAAAGGAGTTTGAGAGGTGTTTTATGGTGGATTATAAACCGAATCTACCTTGCTGATTTTTAAGAGATAAAGATTAGGTTTCAGTTGTCATTGTTGTGATTTTGACACAGTGCTTTCTGTGGATTATCATGTGGAAATTGATTGGGTCACGTGGGACCCTCACTTGAACTTGGTTTATCTAGCCACACTTCCTGAATTATCCAGGCACCTCATTAAAACTGCTATTGAAGGCTTTCCCTGATGTGATTGGTTCTTCTACTCTTGGCTCCCATATTTATTAGGTAAAGTCCACTTGAACCAGCAGAAACCAGTCTTTATTCTTCCACCTTCACCACCAAGCTCTTCTATATCTGCAACACCCCATAAGATAGCACTGCCTTCAGCAAAGGAATATACAGTAATCAATAGTAGTACAGGTATGGACACTTGGTCTTTACTGCCAGATCCTAAGCACAGAAGGCAGAATATTATGACCATTCTGTGGACATCAGATTTCTTCTGTGACAGTGAAGTGCTAAAGCAATCACTGGCACCATAATGTTGGTGTTTACTTCCAGAAGATACAGCCACAATTTCTCCTTGGAAACAAGCATTACAACTGTTCTTATTGGCCTGTTCTATGTGATTGCACTGTTTTTCTCAGGACAAAAGGCATCTGTTAAAAGACTTTGGATACTGCAGAACACCTTAAACTCATGTAGTGATTGACAGAGTGCCAAGGAGAACAGATCACTTTCACACATATCAGAACACTCAACACTATTGAGACATTTCAAACACTGCATTCATTCCTTCTCTGACCATCCTTCAAATAGCAGACTCAAGACAGGTGGTTATTACATTAGCTTCTAAATTACTCTTCTACAATCAACTAACTTCATCACATTTAGATGTTCAAACAGTTTCCGCCAATGAATCATTTAATCCTCACCAGTACACTTTGTTTTCACTTACCAGCCTCACCAGTGGCCTACTGAAACCAGTGCTTAAGAAGTATTAGGAAATTTTCTGTGCAACCTTAGAACACACATTTTCTACACAGCAACAAAATGATTTGATGTTATTACATATTGAGGCTTGGAGACTTTACCTTTCTATATAAAATATGCAAGTACAACAAACCCAAACACTCCCATTCTTCACAGAGAACTTTAAGTATCCACTCTATTTTCAAAACAAATAATTTCTCTACAGGCTGCTAACACCAAGGACTTTGTTATGTTTGTTATAAATAAGTCAGTGGATAATCATAAAGCATTTCTTGGCGGTAACTAAATCAAGAAGATCAGTGATGGCCAGCCTAAACCAGCTATAAATTTTAATGGCAATTTTTTAATGAAGCAGGGAAGGGAGCTTATCAGCATTTTGTCTTTCAGGGTCAGATGAAAGAAAGCTGGAGAGAGATGGGGAAAGAACTATGGAGTACCTGTGTTAAGGAAAGGAAGAAAGAAATGAATGAGTAAAAGAGGAGGTGGGAGTAGAAGCTGATCAGAAGACAAGTAGCTAAGAGGCTTGCACAGCCTTTAGCTTAAGGTCAGAAAGTTTCAGTGTGATGTTGTCCTCAAGGGAAGGCTGCAGAAAAATTTCTGTGCCAATGTGATCTTGGCGAACATGAAAATGGATCACAGACCTTAGAATTTTTGCTGAAATATAAAGGAAAAAGCAGAAGAGAGATAAGAAATAGATTGGCTAGAAATAGCAGAGAGGTGAAATTATGTCCCAATGATAATAACCAGGGCTGAGTCATGATTATAGTGACCTATGTTTCCTTGACCAATCTTGACTGCCACAGGACCTCCTCTGGTTATTGGGTTGAATATCTCTTTGAAAATGGGAGTCCTTTGCCAACTTGTGGGTAAAAGATGGTATTTCCTGAGGGACTATGAGAATTTGGTCTGATTCAATAAGTTGAACGAGCCAAAGTGAAATGAAGGTTCAATGATCCAAATTAAATTAGACACTTTTTTAATCTGAGTAGCCAACTCTAAGTCCCAAATGGTGATTTTTTAAAAAAGGAAATAAAGTAGGGGAGAGGCATATGATCTGAGAACCTGCCCTTTAGCTGCAGCTGCGTAGGCAGGGCCAGGTGGATGACAACCTTGACAAAGGAAAGAAACAGGTAAGAGCACTGATAAATATGATGGTATGTCAGCAAGGAATCCATAAAGCAAGAGCTGGGGTTAATCCAGGGAGCAACTAACATCTATGTGGCAAGAACTCTGCCAGGCATGTGGCACTGGTATTCTATTGACCTAACCCTTGTGACAAAACTGAGCCCTGGTTCTCAAGACACCCCTCTCCAGCTTTTACATGGTTCACACGGTTGTTTCACATAACTGGCTTTCCTGGTAGTGATGTCTTTCACTTTATCATGTAAGATCTTGACTCCTTACTTTCATTGTCTCAAAAAATGTAGGTCACAGAAGCCTTTTTTTTGGTACCGGATCAAACTCGGGACCTTTCGCTTGTGAGGCAGTGGACAGCACCACTGAGCTAAATCCCTGGCCCTCTAAAAGATGCTTTTAAGCCACAAATTCATTTCTGTTACTTTTGTATTTCCTATGACAAGTCAGTGAGAAAAACCTTAAGCCCAGAGTTCAAGTTTTATTTAATTATCCATAAAATACATAGAAACGTGTTTGTTATAGAAAAAAAAAGGATCCCAATAATATTTAACTGCAGTTTCTTGAGTAAGTTGGAGAACAGGGTTCAAAGCAATAACATAGCTGGTTAAGGATGGAGTACTATGCATACTGAGCTAGCATTTTTCTAGAGTTCACAAGAAAAGAGAAGGGTTCAGAACCCTTCTGAAAATTATTAATGATCATGAGTAAGGTAAAATTTGGGAGAAACAAAAAATTAAGTCTTCATTATTTAGCAACTGAGCATTTTCTACTTTTAAAAAGAACAAAAGAAAGCAAAGACATGAAAAGAAATGGTTAAGTAAAGATACAGACAATTCAAGTAATTTATTATAATGAACAGCAATCAACTTCCACAGAGAAAATATCATAAAGATATAATTGGAAACTACAAATACCCCATATAAGAATTTTAATTTCAGTGTTTAGTTGCTTGAATCCAAACTCCCATTTTAATATGAGTTCTATGAGGAAATTTATAAGTTTTTTCTTTTGCGTCAGACCTCAAGCCAGCCACATTCTTTCTGGTTCAGATTTTCTTCCCTTAGATCTATAGAAAATGGAAAAAAAGAAAAAAGAAAGAATCATTGTAAGGAGACCTGGAAGCCTTAGATTCTTGCCCTGCTACAAACTAGCTACAAACATATCACGTATCACATTGCAACTTTGGGGAAAAGTTTAACCCTCAGAAGTGATGCTCTTAGACCAATTGCCTAACTCTGGGCCAGTCTCACAAGCATACAACCCATGTAGTTGCACAGGCCCTTCACTTCGAAGGGCCTTGTGGTTGGTTTAATGCTCTCCTATCACCATCTTAAAATTCTTGCTAATTTTTTACCAAGAGATTGCACATTCTTATTTTGTACCCATCCTGTAGAACTTACATAGATGATGATGCCCTGACAGTGCCAGGCCTCTGCTTCTCTATCTGTAAAATCATCACTGGAATATCCCCAGCAGCCTTTTAGCTCAAGGATGTGATGAGACAAATGCTTTAGGATTTAAGGAGCACAATGCCGCAGCTGTGAGCAGCTTTTTCCAGGATTTCATTTCCAATATCTATTTTCATCCTTAAATTGTCCACTATGCCCTAATGATAGAAACTGCAGGACCTGTCATGCTAGGGATTATCTGGCTCCCTTTTACTTCTCTCATGACCAATTTCTCATTATAGACCCCCTGACTAGCCACCTACTGCCACAAGAATGCTGCAAATAAAACTACCCCCAAACTAAGAGGTTTAAAGCAGAATCACTTCACAAGTTCACAAGTCCATGGTGGCTGGCTGATTCTGCTAATCTTAGGCCTGGCTGAGCATTTCTCTGGTCTCAGCTGAGTCTCAGTCTCTCTCTCTCTCTCTCTCTCTCTCTCTCTCTCTCTTTCTCTCTCATTTAACAGATGGCCTCAGCTGGCATATTTCAGTTCTCTTCCCATGGTCTTTGTCTCTCCAATGGGCTGGTCCTAGCTTACAGAAGTAGGCAGTAAGTTTAGAAGCAGAAGGAAGCAAGGCTTTTGAGGTATAGGCCTCGGACCCACATAGCATCACTGCTGTACTCCACTATCCAAACCAAATCATAAAGCCAGCCCAAATTTGGGAATGCAAGGAATAGGCCTTAATGGGAAATTTTGAATAGCTTTCTTGATGGCAAGAACTACAGTTCACATTCTAAGGTGCCTGGATACAAAGAGGGAAGGAATATGAGCTATAAACTGTCCATATTCACATTAATCAAAACTTCTACTCAGTATATATCAACAACACATAGCTGTGTGATCCTAAGCAAAGCACTCAGGGTCTCTTCCCATTGCATCATCTGTATAAATGAGGTACCCAGCCAGATTAGCTCTAAATCTCCTGCTCCAACATCTGCATGGTCTGTAGACCTCTTTATTCCTCTCACTTCAACTACTCTTCATCTCCTCCCTTGGGCCAATACCTCTCTCTACATCCTGAATACTACAGTATTAATTGTACATGATCAAAGTGATTGATTTAACCTACTTTAATCTTTACAGTTTTGACAGACCCTGAAAGCAATACTCCAAAAACAAGAGTTTGGAATTCTTGGAAGTTTGTTTTTCTCAGCCATGTCAGAGAGCTGTTTGCAACATTCAAAAGGGCAGTAAATAGTGCATCACTCAGATCCAGTATCTGCAGCTTTGTGGCGCCCTCATCTCTATACAGCAGAACACTTTTTTGTTTGAATGCTGTCTGGGCTATCCCCAACCTCCAACAAGACTGTGAGCACTCACTATTTGAGCCAAAACATACTGGTGCAAGGCCAGCATTCTCTTCAATAAACGAAAGGGACAGTGTTCTTGCTGAAGCCTGCAAGGTCCTGTCAGCTTTATGCTTGCTGATTCACATGGCTTTTTTAAAGGGCATTACCATATAATTTTATTCCGAAATTAAATCTGGTCGGTCAAGACTTTGCCAGGTTGGGCAATTGTCATTTATCAAAGTAACTAAGTAATAGTTTATTTTTTTTCCATTGTTGGATGTCCTTTTGATCTTTACAACTCACAATAATACAGCTTTCTCCAGTAAGCTCTCTCATGAGACTCTATATGAATCCAGATCTTGATTTTGGTTTTTTTCCCCCTTAAAAAATCATGAAAGCACTATAATTATTCCTACAAAGATATGCAATGTTCAGGACCAGCAAATGCACCACAGAGATAGATAGGCATGTAGTGTGTACCTTGCCAGACATGTGCACTGGCTGCTTCTGCTGCTGGTTCAGGGAATGAGAGATAAATTTGGTCTATATCATTGTGTTTTTAACTGCAAACTGCTTCTTAGGCTGCCAGATATGCCTTTTGTTTTGTGCATTTGTGTTTCACAGTCTCCAAAATAAACCTGTCTCTTCAAATCAGGAAATCTTCTACTAAGCAAAAAACAAATGAGGGGTGATAATAGAGGACCAGCCAATATATCTTTCACTTGCTGAGATGCCCGTTTCCCCTTCAGTGATTTTTGTCATTTTGCTGCATGAGTCCATACTGGCATTAGGTTGCAGTAACACAGCGGGTTCCTTCATTGGCAGGGTGGCCTCTGAAGGTCACTGAAGTTTGACCCTTGGTCACCTTATATCCCTTTCAGGTGGTGAGCGCTTTTCTTTAAGAATTCCAACATTCTACTCATGTAGTACTTTGTAGATGTGTTTCCAATATTCCAGCAGGAAAAGAGAACCTCTAAAGTTCCTAGATCTGGATGGGTAGGTAGGGAGAATGGTGGTGGTGGGGTACCAGTTTGACCCAGCCTCATATTTGCAGAAGTCTTCACATTTTTACTCCTTACCTATAAATGATCTTGTAAAAAGAAGAAAAAAAAGGAATGAAAGAGATGAAACATAAATTACATGTTGGGGTAGAGGAAAGTGGTAGGTACCAAATCAGGCAAAACATAGTCAATAGTTTAAATCCCAGAAAGGAGTTGGGGTAGTCATTTATAGAGTGAAGCATAAAGGCTGAGGGCACACCATTCTGATCCAGGGCCTTCTAAGTTGCCTCTGGATTTTCTTCCACCAGTGACCTTAACTTTCAGGGTGTGGCATCAAAATCTAGGCTTAGCACACAAGATCCCCCACAACCTGGCCTGGGCCACCATCCATCTCTTTCCTCCTCCTCTCCTCTGCCGAGAGTCTTTGCTTTGGTTATACCACAAGACTCCCAGCCACCTTAAAGGTGCTATTAAACATCCCAGACCTTCACACATGTCTTCCTCCTCTCTGCCCCATCCTTTCACTTTCCATGACAACTTAAATAGAAAGTCACAGAAACTCTTATCCTTTCTTCATAAATCAATCTTAACCCCTCTGGGATAAGATAGAACCCTGAGAGTATTTCTACCAATTATTACTCTGCTTTATAACCTTTGCTTTAGCTGCCTGTTTTCCTTTGGAAGGAAAGGCTGTATGGTATTCATTGTTTTATCCCTGTTGTGTTGCAAAATGCCTGGCATATGATAGATTCCTACCATGAATGAGCCAAACAGATCCAAAGCCTATTAGAAATGTAGACTCTTGGCTCCTACTTCAAATATAACAATCAGAATCTGCATTCAACAAAGATCCCCTAAGGGATCTGATTATATATTAGAGTTTGAGATGCACTAATCCAGCTTATACTGATTTTTCACTTCTGTAAACATCTGGAGAGTTGACTGTCCAAAGCTCTGGGTTAGGTAATTATTAATGTGCCTCCTTGGCACTGTTTACTTGATATGGTGAATTTGCATATGCTCACACACTCTCAATCTTGCCTTCTCACCTAGAAGGCCACACAGCTGCTCTTTTGGGATTCCCTTCAACACCCAGCACTAGGTATACACAGAGTAGGTCCTTGGTACAAATTTATGCAAAGAGCTAAAAACCACTCAAAAAGAACCAGGTTTATAAAATTGTATCATACCCATGTCTCTGTAACAGAATAAATAGCCAAGGTCAAATTAAGTCTGAGGCTATTGGGAAGGAGATAAAGATGAATTACCTTGCCTCTAGTAAGAATCAAGTAAAAGATGAATTTTTTGTAAATATACTCATAGCTCTCCCCAAACTTGCCCTCCACTTGCACCTCTGTCCTTGAAGGGACACATGGCAATCCATTAGGAGCAGATTTCCTTATTCCTGTTCTATATTTAACCTTTCCTTAATCCTGGTATGCCTAGAGATTCAGTACTTTTGATTACTGAACTCAACAACTCATATTCTTCCTTTGGGCATATTAAGAAATTTAGATCTACTTCATTTCATCCCATATTCCCTGAGTTGTTCATGGTAATACACTTCACACTGCTCTGTTCTAACCCAACAAAAGTAACAAGACTCTAAGGTCTCAGGACATTATATTCCCTATGGAGTCTGGGGAATAAGCAACAAGGAATGGTTTGCCAATGGAAAATATTATTTCTGATCTTGAATTTCTTTATATCTACAACGAATATTAAAAGGCTGCCCACATTCCATATTAGTCCAGAGAATTAAATTATAATGTTGAAAATTAATCCATACATTTTACCTGGCTTTAGGGAAGCTCTGGGTATACACCATTCTTTCATTGAAAAAGCAGTTGTTCCTGCCCAAAATTCTCACTTGATGTCACCAAGTCACATTTTTGAGGCCAGGATTTCAGCAGTGCAGCTCAGCGATAGCATTTTCACAAAGACCCAGGAGGGTAGCATATATATGCCCAGTCTAGAAACTCTCTGCCTAATAACCTTGCCCACTCAGTAATATTGTTTCTTCCTGGCACCAGATATGCATTCCCTGAAGATGGAACAGAATGAGAAGGACCCGTGGACTGACTTGTAGGTTTGCACACCTTTGGCTCTGTGATATTATTTTACTGTCTTAAATAATATTTGCATAATTCTATTTAAAAGACTTCTTATTAGATATTCAAAGGCATAAAAATATTTATATTGAAGTATTAGAAAGCAGTCAGGACCTAGAGGAAGCAGTTGTAAATGCCAGCCCCAGACAGGCTCGTGTTAGCCAGCGTCCCCTGCTCCAGCCTGTCAGAACACAAAGAGTCTTTTCTTCCTGGATTTCACATCCCCAAAGATGATGACACAACTAACTATAGCAAGTGTCCATCCTCCAAAGTCACTTCCTTCAGGTCCTGCAACTTTGTTGTCTGATTTTGGTGAAAGCAGAGGCTTCCTATCACGGTATCAAAGGCTTGAGGGGATGCCTGGATTTCAACTCAGTTCTCTGACCATAGCTCAAAGATAAGAGTTACAAACATTTACTCCATCTACATTTATTAAATGAGATCAATTGGATGAAGCACATATTGGATTTCTCAAAGCATATTATAAATGTTAGCTAGTGGTGTTTTTATTATCATTTGTTGCCATAGATAATAGTACAGCCCGGACTAGAACTCAAATCTTTGACTGTATCATAATACAGAACCACAAATTTCAGTCCATGTGTCAAATCCAACTCAGTATGAATTTTATAAACCAAGCTTTATTTGAACATATATATGCTCATTTGTTTATATATATGCTCATTTGTCATATATATGCTCATTTTCCACAATGGCAGAACTGAGGAGCTGTGTAACAGAGATAGGATTGAAAAGGAACCTAGATTTTGGAGTGAAAAGATAAGGATTAGACATGCCCTTCCCACCTGGCTAACACTGGACAAATCACTGTAAATTTCATTATCTGTATAAAGAAGATGCTAAGAATAGTTACATTAATTATTAGTAGTGAGGACTAAACAACTTATATTCAACCCCTGTGAAAGTATTTAAGTCCAATAAGAATACATCCATTCATGCATGCATTCATTCATTCATTCACATAACTGACAGCAGAACAGATACAGAACACTCAGAGTGACAGCAGCAACAGATGCAGTCTCTGGACTTAATGTAGCTCATCTTCTGGCAGGGAAGACAAGCTTCTTGAGCAAGGTGTGTGTCCTAACTCATCAATCTCATTATTATCAATTTGTCAAATATCTGATTTTAATTTTGAAAAACTACAGCAAAGAGAAATGCCTATGCTTTAAATTTTGCCTTTGACTTAGTCTGTGTCAGAAATATTAAGTTGTACATTTTTCAGTATGTATTCAGTTATTTACTCTTATTCAAACAACAAATAAGCTAAGCCCTTTAAAAACACACGCACAGAGTTAGACAAGTTGTCTGGTGAATGTGATACCTTCAGAGATGCCCACAGGATGATGTAAGCCCTTGTGCATTTATAAAACAAAGTTCAACCAGGTAAAATGGTGCTCAGTAAGAAAAAAATGCAAATACATGAATACAAATAAATATAAATATCCATGAATCCAGCTGAGAATAAAAAAAGAACACTCCATTGGATACTTTCTGTGATTGTTTTTCCACTTAGGTAGAATTATTTTCTGGAAAAGTACAAAAATAAGCAGGTAAAAATAATGTCATTGAAATTATTCACCTCTAAATCATGTTTCAGCTGAATGATAAAGAATTGCTTATTTGTTCTAACTCTAACAGTGTCCCATGATGCTTCTTTATGTCAATTTGTCTAGAGTAGAATGTATTAAAATCACATCAGTTATTACCAATTTTATATTTAAAAGTTTCTTCTCCTTGAGTTTTCACTGCACTGTAAAAAGACTAGTAATGTGTTGAGGATTTATAATCTGGTATGAGGTCTACCAATTTCCCTATTAAAGGGTATATCACTCTCCTGAAAAAAAGTGCTCAGATGCTGAGCAGTCTACAACAATGTCTCCCAAGTGAGTCATCTGACCATGGTTTTTATGCCCATGCACAAAAGGGACATTTAGTATGAAAGCAGCAAATGAAAACCAGAGGCTGTTGTCAAATCGTCAGCCATTGTGCTCATATTAATAACCACTGCAGCTGTCTGAGGCTCAAATTAGCATCTTTGAAGTAAGTTAAACACTTTCAGCACTATTTAGAGCCATTTCAAAAAAACAAAAGTTTATGCTGAAATATTTTGCTAGATGACCTTTAAAATAAAAATCTCTTCAGAAACTTATGATATGTGTTTTCTGAGGTGACATGATAAGATTACCTGATAAATCTTTAATTTCAATTAGCTAAGTATTCCAAAAGCTATAGCCTATAGACACGTTAGTTTATGCATACATACTCACACAAACTCATATAAATTCTTATAATCTAAAATTAGAAGCACTCTTTCACTCACCCAGATACCCAACCAGACTAACATTATTCCTGGCTGCTCACCCTGGCATTGGGAGAGAATAACCTTTTCTAGCAAAGACAAGCATTCAAGTTAGAGACAGGTAACTGTACCATTCCTGCATTGAGAAGGAGAACCGGCATCCCTTCAAAAGAACAACTCCACAAGCACATTAACTGCAGGAAAAAAATGAGTCAATGTTGAGACTCAAGAAAACCTGTAATTTGATATAGATGAACTGGCAATGAGTAAATCATTCATTGTGTTAACTGCCCCAGGGGGGCCTGGCAGCGTGGACTTCAAGTTGTACTCCCAAGATTCTTCAGATGGGCTCTTGGTATTTATGTGCAGAAACTTTTGTCTGTTAAGGTTCTGAAATGGGCTCCCCCAATTATACAGTGGTGAGATATAGACCAATACCGGAGAGCAAATGAATTTACCAAATAAAAGGAGATAGCTGAATATTTTATTCAAAAGGCAAGCCCATCCACCACCCACCTCCCTCTGACCATTTTGATCTTACACATTTAGGTACAAAGTCATTAAGTAGACAAATATTTCCTTTGGATTTAAACTATTAAGAAACACCAGTTCTACTACTGAGAAGTTAGATTTGGATTCTAGTTCTATTTCTGTCCTCAATATCCTTGCCACCCTGGGTTCATAAACTAAATGGTCTATATCTCTAAATCTATATCTATCTATCTATCTATCTATCTATCTATCTCTCTATCATCTATCATCTATTTCAGAAGTCAGCTGCCCCTAAGCTATCTGTGTTCATGAGCCTGAGCCTTCACACACACACACACACACACACACACACACACACTACACACTACATGTACTTCACACTTTCTACTGTGGCCTTTCAGAGATGTATTTCAGGGATAGGAATTTATTTGACATAGGCTCAGAATGCAGTGGTCGTAGTAGCAGTGTACTCGGTCCCCAGGCCCTCCCTCTTTCCCAAGATGCAGCTTCTTCTCATGCAGCTTCTGCAGTTCCATAACTAATATCTAACATCTCTGTGTACCACACTCAGCATAGAGGTCCCAAGACAGGCAACAGCCTTGCCTACTTCTTAGCTAGCAGTTGCTATGGCCTGTCCTGGGGAGGGGAAAGCTCCATGCAAAATAGCTTCTTTTCTTTATAACATTGGCTCAGTGGCCAGAGTCAAAATCTATTTGTATTGCCCTGAATCTCTAGCAAGTCAGTAAAATTTGATATTCTCCCATCTCCCAGGAACTTCCTTTACAACATTTATTAACGAAGAAAGAAGATAATTCTGAACTCATACCCACAAGATGGACCTGGAAGGTGATAAGATGACATGAATTCATTCAGAAACAGAAGAAGTTTACATGCTGTAACAACTAATGTATTCACATTGCAAACAGCAGAGCGACTGAAGCCTTGAATGCTCTTTTCTTGCATCTTCTGCATCTTCCTGAAATATGAAAATCAAATCCATTGTGTGTATATGAGAGGTCCTTTAACATAAACAGCTTCAGAAAAACCTTCAAGATGCTACAGGAGCAACCTCTGAGTGCCATTCGAGGCAAGGAGATGGAAGTGGAGCCAGGTTTGGGAGGCACCAGGAATTCTCTTCAGTACTGATAAGGATAGAAGTTTCACCTCCCCAGCCCTTCTGACTTTGGTATATGTTGCTTCTGACCTCACTCTCTACTTATTATCTCTGCTTTTCCTCTGCTATCTCTAACCTTACCTCTGTACAGTGGTAAGATTTAGACCAATGACTTGGATCCTGGGAACCCCATCCTAAGGGGTGTTTTCATTGACAACTTAGACTTAGAATTGTCTACTTAAAAATGACTTGTGCTTATAATTCCCAAGGGAAAAAAGTTCACTGTGTTAAGAACTTGGTCTATTTCCAGTCAATGACCAAATAGCAAAGATGTTTCTTTGTCTCAAGTGTTTATAAGGACTTCAAAACAGTTGGCTTTGAATTTGATTTGGGATGTTTTCTTGCCATCTCTTTTTAACAGAAAATAAAAGGCCAATGAAAATGTTTCCAGGGAATCCCAAAAGGCCACTTTGCCTGCACCCCTGGAATTCAGTGCTTTCTCACAGTGTCATTCAGGTACTGAGGACAAAAAATGCTGGCTGTGTGAGGCCAAGCCACTTCTATAGCCAAATAAGAATTCTAATAGTGGAGTATGAAAAAGAGCTCTAAAATGAAGAGTTGTCTTATATACTTTGACTGCTACTTTTTTTCCCTACAAACTGACCATTTGCCCCCAGGACCTGTCAGTGGGATTTAATGCCTATCAGTCTGGAGAAAGAGAAAGTGATGAGGTGTTACCAGCCCTTCCTGTTCAGCTATACTTTAACCTGAGTTGGAGTACAACTTGTGAAAGAATAACTTATAGGTCTGCAAGCACAGAAGTGGGGAAAATGGACCTGGAGTGTGTGGCCACTGCTGGTCTCTGGGTAAAACAGCATAGGTAAAATGTGGGTAGCTTTGCACAAAGTATCTGTAGTGGGTTAAATTACATCCTCCAAAAACATGTGTTAACACCTCATTCCTGGCACTTGCAAATGTGATCTTATTTAAAAATAGGGACTTTTCAGGTCCAATCAAGTGAGGATGAAGTCACTAGGATGGACCCTTAAGTCCAGGGGCTGGTGTCATGGAGGAGCTTCATTCTGAGTGCCCAGATCAGCTAGTTTACTATTTAAAAGTGGATATGGTTGGATTTAATTTTCCTATAAGTTTCCCATCTTGTGGGATTGTTTATGTGAAGTCTAAGCAGCCTGCACAAGATCCTCTGCTTAGGCCAAGTCTCCCTGACAAGGAGCCCTATGCCCATTGCCTTTCACCAACTGGCACACATTTCTCTGTGCTCCACCATTAATTGTACTAGAAATGGATCTCCAAGTACATCAGAGCTTTCTAACTTCAAATATGCATGAAAACCAACTCAAAAGGGTGCAAACTGCAGAATTTTAGGTCCCATCCTTAAAGACTCCAAAGGGAGTTCACAGTGAAGATTTTTTTTTCTCTATCTTAAGCCTAGTGAAGGATCCAAAGGAGTTTTGGAAATAGCAGAAATAAAACTTACAAACACCAAGCATTTCTGCTTGCAAGCATTACTGAGCATTAAAAAAAGAAGAAAAAAAGAAAAAATATGAGAACAGAGCCCCTTGACTCTCATACCCGGTTGCACAGCTGACTCACCTGGGGGAACATTTAACAAATACCAATGTCTGTGTGCATCCCAGGACACTTAGGTGAGAATTACTAAGTGGAAGAGACTAGCACTGGTAAATTTTATTAATAACCCAATGAATCGCCCGGTGACAGGCAAACAAGATTGAGAATCTTAAGTGTAGTCAAAGGATCCATCTGTAAAAATGTGGCTCCACAGTATCCCCCTCTTTTTTCCTAGGGATGCTCCCAGCTGATGACAGGTGAGAAACCCAGTAAAGTTGAGAAGTTCTCTGAAAGGGCCCTTGGCCTTTACTCCCTAACCCTCTTTCCACCCATATTAAAATCTTGAGGCTTGAGAAGCTTCCAGGTGAGGAAAGTATTATGCTACTTAGCAAGTCATGGTCCTTAGGCCTAACTTCTGGGATTCTGGTCCACATTTCGCTATACCATACCATGTAAAGGTGATCTCTGTTACTCTGTGTCTTTGCCTCAGGTCCAACAACCTCTTACACAAATTGAATTGAAGGACTTTCCACTGTCTCCTTAGGGGTTTTCCAGGGACAAGGGATACATTTCTGGTACACTGTCCTTTTTGTCCTCTTCTTTTGCTCCCAGGGATGTTCATTAAAGGGTCTCCACAGTCTATTCACTCTGCCTGCCTGATATTTAATAGGTTATCCTTCTAATGAATTGTTCCTTATTATTATGAATTTCACTGGAGAGAGAAGTCATCATTCATAGGCCCTCCCATCCTCCTGATAACTTTTTGAGATCTTGCCAAAAAGAAACAAGAAGGTACAGCTGTGCTGTGGTTCAAACAGAGCTAATATGTAAAATCTATTCCTTTTCATTTTTATTAGCTTCACAGTATTTTATTACATGCATGTGTAAATTTAATTATCCAGTTTCAATTTTTACCATTTTAACCAATCATAGACTGAATGTGCTGCCATATGTTCTACATACAGATGTGCTAAATATTTACAGGACACATCCTAGAAATGGAATTTTTGAGATAAACGAAATGAGTAAAGACATTAATAATTTTGAAAAATATTATCAATTACCATCCATAGACTTCTGGTCACTCACTCCAATTTTCTGAAGTGGAATACTCCTCAATATATATTTTATCTTTGCCATTTGATGTGTGAAAATAGACTGGCACTGTTGCTTTCATTTGCATTTCTCTCACCATATATGTGATCATATGCTTTTGATAAAAAGAAAACAGAAAGAAGTCTCATATCTTTTTATATGCTTAAGAATTCTGTATTTTGCTATAAGCTATTTTTAATATATTTTTCATTTTTTCTACTGAATTTACAGGTTTTTCTTACATTTTGTTATTTTTAGTAAATTAAGAAAATTATCTATGATATATCGAGAAAATACTTTTTCTTAGATTCCTATCAAAAAAACATTATTTGGGTTTTTGTGGATTAAAATATTTATTTCAGTGAATATATTGTTATGATGCTTAATGATTTCTAGATTTTTTTGTCTCACCTAGAAAGCATATATCTATATCTATTTTTACTTCTAGAACTTCTCTAATTTCTTTCTTTTCTTTTCATATATATAATGCTTATTGAACAATGCATTTTACCCCACTGAGAAAGAAATAACATTTTATCATATACTAAATATATATGTGTGTAGTTGGACCTATTTCTGGACTATTCTTGTATTTTAGTTTGTTAATTTGCCTGTGTATTAATATGTGAATACATTTTTAAAATTTCTATCTTTTTATAATTTACTAGGACTAAGCCTAACTCATTGCTCTTATTTTTTTCTGACCTTTGTTGCTTCCTAGTTATTCCATATGAGCTAGCACATTCTTATCTATCTCTTAAAAAAAAAATCCTAGGGCAGCCAAGCCCTATAACATAGCCTGAGGCAGGAGGAATCCAAGTTCAAGCCCAGCAGGGACAACTTAGTGACTTAGCAAGAGCCTGTCTCAAAATTTAAAAGGCTATGGTTGTAGCTCAGTATGAAGACCATGGGTTCAATA